ATGTATAGAACTGGAGATCACTTTGTTCAGTGAAATAACATGAAGACAAACATAGAGAGACAAGTATCACATAATGTCACATCTGTGCTATCTAAAAAGAATAGTGGATCTCAATCCTGGTACCTTAGGAGACTAAATGAAGAGAATCACAACTTCAAAATCAGTCTCAGCACCTTAGTGAGGGCCTGAGCAACTTAGACCCTGTCTCAAAACAAATTATAAAAAGGGATGGAGATGTGGCTCAGAGGTTAAGTGCCTCTGGTTTCAACCCCACTCCCAAAAGTAGATCTCATAAAATTTGAGAAAAAAATGGTAATTACCAGAGGCTGGGCGTGGTGGTGGACTTGACCAATGTGCAATAAGTTGTAATTAGGAGTAAGAAGTAATGATGTTATTGTACAGCAGGTGATACAATGATGATGCACTGCTTATTTCAAAAAACTAAAGGAAAGAATTTTGAATATTTTCACCATATAGAATGATAAATGTTTGATGAGTTAAATATGTTTACCCTGATATGAACGTTGACCAATGTATACATGTATCAAAATACCACATGGTACCCTATAAAGATGTTCAAGTTTTGTATTTTATGTGTCAGTTAAAACTGAATTCAAATTAAATTTTAAGAAAGCAACATCAAATACATTAAAGACTTAAATATAAGACTCAAAACTATAAAATATAGGGAAGAAAATATTTCAAGACATACTAGAACAAAACATAGGGAAACACTTCAGGAAATTGGCATGGGAAAAGCCATTTTAGGATATGACCCCAAAAGCACAGGCAACAAAAACAAAAACTGACCAATTTGAGATTATAAAAAAACTAAAAAGTTTCTTCATAGCAAAATAAATAATCAACAGAGCTAAGGACAACCTGAAGAATGGGAAAAATTATTTGCAAACTATATATACAAAAGGGGTTAATATCTGGAATTATAAGAAACTCATCTCAATATTAAAATAATAATGTTAATCTAATTAATAAGTATGCTAAGGGTCTGAGTAGACATTTGCAAAAGATGGCATACAAATAGTTAGCATATATGGGAAAAATGGTCAAAATCACAAGCTATCAAGGAAAAAAATTAAAACTACAATGAAATATTACCTTACCTTACCACAGCAGAACTGGCTATTAACAAAAAGTCAAAAGATCAGAAGTCTTGGTGAAAATTAGGAGAAAGGGCAACTCTTGCACATTGTATATGGGAATAAAAATTAAAATATTCTAGAAAAATTAACTGGAGTTCCCTCAAAATGTTAATATATCATTACTATATGATTTACTAATCCCACTGCTGGGACATATACTCCAAGTTGTTCTAATTCTTATGTAGAAAAGTCATCTGCACTCTCCTGTTTGTTGCACAATTACTCACATTAACCTGAATATGGAACCTATTTCATTGTAGTTTTGATTTTCATTTTCCTGAATGCTAGTGATGTTCAGTGTTTTTCCTCTATATGTTGTCCATTTGTATGTCGTCATTTGAGAAACAATTATTCATGTTCTTAGCCTATTTATTATTCCAACCTAAAAGTCCATCAATGGATAAATTGAGGAAGAAAATGTGGTGTGTGTGTGTATGTGTGTGTGTGTGTATGTGTGTGTGTGTGTATCTATATATAACTGAATGCTATTCACTCATAAAAAAGGGAAGACTTGTTATTTGCAACAGTATGGATGAACCTGGAGGATATTATGCTAAGTGAAATAATCCAGGAACAAAAAGAGAAATACCACATCATCTCACTCACGTATAGAATAAAAAACAAAACAAAACAAAAACAAAAATAACTTGATCTCATAAAAGTTGAAAGTACAACATATTGGTTACCAGATGTGAGAAGAGTAGAGAAGAAGAGGGATGGGAAGTGTTGACCAACAGGTACAGAACTACAATTAGGAGAAATAAGTTCTGGTGTTTTATGGCACAGTGGGGTGAATATGGTTAACAATAATCGGCTGTATATTTAAACTAGCTAGAAGGACTTTCAATGTACTCAACATAAAGAAACAAGAAAAGTTTAAGGTGATGGATGTGTTTATTGACCTGATTTGATCCTTATCCAAGTTATGTATGAACTGAAACACCATATTTACTTTATAAACATGTATAACTATTATGTGCCAATGAAATGTAGAGATATTTAGACATATGCAACATTTAAGGCAAATACACATATCCATTTATGATGCATTCTTACCATAAACTTGAACCTAATAATCTATAGTCAGTTGATAGCTTATTAGAAATATGAGGGACTAAGGACCATATAAAATGATAACAAAGATGTCTCAAAGTATAAATTGCAAAGGAATAATACAAGACATTGAGTACAATACCTACAAATTAAAGAAGACAAGCGTCAATTAAATCAAATACAATGTATAGACTTTATTTAGATTCCAATTTGAACAAATTGTACAAATTGAAACAAAAATAATGAGACAATTGAAGAAATTTAAACACTGCCTACATTGCCAATAATGGTATAGCATTTTAGGTATGATCATGTTATTATGGTATAGTTTAAAAATAGGACCTTATAATTTAGATGCATGTATTGAAATAATTTTGAATGGACAGATGTGCTATCTGGAATCTTCTTCAAAATAATCCATTGAAATAAGGCATAAGGAAATTGCTGAGGCTATAGATGAAACAACATTATCTGTTCATTGATAACTGTTAGAGTTTGATATGGATACATGAAGTTACATTATACAATTATATATATATATATATATATATATATATATATATATATATATATATAGAGAGAGAGAGAGAGAGAGAGAGAGAGAGAGATTTGTCAATGGACTTTATTTATTTTTTTTAATTTATATGCAGTGCTGAGAATCAAACCCAGGGCCTCACTCATGCTAGGCAAGTGTTCTCCTACTGAGCCACAATCACTGCAATGTTTTTTTCCATTTTTTAATGTTTGAATTTTCTATAGTGAATGTTCAAATGTAAAATGACTATCTTTTATTATTATATTTAATTTCCCCTAATTTGTTTTGAAATATTCTTTTTTAGTAGAAAGTACATTTGATATTTTTAAGGAACTGATTTCACAAAATTAGAAAATAACTGCATGATGTTAGTCGTGCAATTTGTAAATATAAACCTTTGCTTGTACAAAATTCAAAAATCCTGGAATCATGAGTCTCACCATATTCTATTCTATCCTGTTGAAACAGGGATGGATATATATGTATAAGAAACTTATAAATTATATGTACATTCATGATTAATTTTTAAAAATTTTTAATTCTAAACTTATTTAGTCATAAAAAAGAATTTGCAAAAATAATACAGATATCCCATATATCCTTGACCCAGTTTTCTTTAATGTTTACATATTGCAGAATTATAACGAATTTTAAGAAATTAGTCAATTAAAATTGGTGCAATATTACTAAATAATCACAAGATCTTAGTCAATTTCCTCACTATTTTCATGAATGTATTTATTTTACTTTAATATTTAAAAATGTATTTATTTTACTTAAATATTTTCTTTTATTGCTATATCATAATATATGATCTAGTATTCTAATGCTTGTTTTATTTTTACTTTAATGGATTAAGAATGGTAAAGGTATTCTAAATCACTAGGAATTCAAATATTTTGTACATTTTAACTATTTATTCCAATCTTTACAGATGTTTCAAACACATAAAATTAAACATTAATTTTTAATTTTTTAATTAACTTTTTAATTTTGGTAAAATATACATAATGTAAATTTACCATTTTAACCACTAGTAAGTGTTAAGTTCAGTGGCATTAGGCATATTCAAAATCTATCACCACCACCCAACTCCAGAATCCTTTTATCATCCCAAATGCAATATTATAGTCACTAAATAATTTCCCACTGCACCCTTTTTCCAGAACTGGTAAGTACTATTCTATTCACTGTGTCTAATGAATTTGAGTGTTCTATATACCTCAAATAAGTGGAACCACAAAAAATCTGTTTTTTTTTTTTTTTTGCATCTGGTTTATTTCACTGACCATAATATCTTCAGGGTTTATCCATGTTGTAGCATGTGTCAGAATTTCACCTCTTTTAAGTATATGCAAACAACATTTTGCTTCTCCATCAACCACTTATGAGCCTTGGATTATGTCCACCTTTTTACTACTATGAATATACTGCTTATGAACATGTGTGTTCTAATGTCTATTCAAGCCTGATCTTCAATTCTTTTGGGTACACACCTAGCAGTGAAATGACTAGATCATATGTTATTTTTGTATTTAATTTTCTGGGGAACAGCCATAGTGTTTTCATTGAGGTTCCACTATTTATATTCACTCCAGTAAGAAATGAGGATTCTAGTTCCTCCTTTTTCTTTTTTTATGATTTATTATTTTATTGCATACTTTATTAAAAAAACAAAGCCCAAACACACATTCCCCCAACATCAGGGAAAGAGCTTACATCTTTCTTGTGTAGCCATCTTTAAAGCAGGCCATACTGTTTATTTCTATATATACCCTTACATACTTCTCTCCCCTCAAATATTTATATCCCAGCTATAAAAATGGAACTGCAAAGGGTTTTTAAAAAGATAAATGAGATTTTTTTTTTGCCCTTGTTATTATACAAACAATTTAGGTGATTCAAGAACATGAAAGTAAGGAGAAAAAAAAAACTCTACTGAAGAAATGGAATCTCTGTTAGCTGTAACAAGTAGCTATTATCATTTGTTGAACTGGCACCTTCCTGACAGATCAGTCTGTAGGGACATGGGCACATGAATCAGGGTAACAGACATGAGCCTGGTGATTGCTTCTACATATTTCCAGAAGGCACATATCTTCCACACCCTTTCTTAAGTAACTGAAGGCAAACTACAGGAGAATCCAGTATTTAGATTCTGCCCACTCTGAGGTATTAAATGCATAAGGGAAAGATTAGTTATATCCAAGTTGCATGCAATAAAAATATTTTTAAACCAACATGGTTAAGTGTTAAGATTTTTAGAAATCAAAATATTTATTCACATAATTTTAAACTAAAGTCAAAACTAATCATATTCTATGGTAATGATTTAAGTGCGAGTGATGCAGTTTTCACATTTGTTTCCTTCAGAGAAAAGGCAGATAGATCAGTTGTTCTTGAATAAGTCAATGCAGCTCTGCAAGAGGGAGACATTGTTTCTGGCATGCTTTATTTCCAGTTCAGACATCTCAATTAGGTTTTTTCTAAACGCTGCCACTCTCTTCCGTTTGAAATTTATAAGTTCTTCTTTTGCAGATTCAGAAAGCTGTTCAAATTTCTGGCAACATTCCTGTTGGTGTGCCTCAGCCAACTTGACATCTTTGCTTTTTAACCTGGCTTTATCCAGAGCTTTGTTTGAGTTCTCATAGTCAATAAGGGATTTGGTGCGTCTGTATAAGAGATCCTTTGCAGCCTCTATATTGAGCATGTAGTATCAGAGAAGTTCTGTCAGCTTTAAATCTTCATCTGATGAGACACAACCCTCCACTTTCCTAAGTTTTTCAAAGAGTTCAGCAACCTTCAATAGGTATTTTTTGATGACTGTGGGTTCTTCTAAAGCCAGGCTCTGCAAGGAGGCTGCAGTGTGAATATAGTCATCAGCAACATTTTTGTGAGATCTGGTCATTCTGTCAGCTTTAGCACAGGAATCCTTGATCTTGTTGTAATTGTTAATAAGGAAGTTCTTCTCTTGCTCAAAGAAGTCATCTACCTCCTTAACTCCAGAGAAAAGAACTTCATCAGCACTTTTTACCACACTTTTAAAGAAGCCACCAAACATTTCTTTGGTATTTTTTGGCCTAACACTTAGATCCTGATCATATTCCAGGAAAACATGAAAGTTTCCATCTTTACTGAGAACAGAATGAGAAGAAAGCTGCTGAAGAAATATTTCATGAGAGGACACAGTCTTCTTAAAGACAGCGAGATATTCAGCTTCCAGTTCTTGCTTCATCTTTGCAAACTCTTCTTTGGTCATAGACCCAGTTTCTGCATCTTTTCACGAGGACCATCGAAATCTGGTTTTGTAGGAGCAGGGGGAATAATAAGCCCAGCATAGTCTGTGGTTTCAATAAGTGTATCATGTAGCCACACGAAGTCTTCATGTTGTCTTGTAACAGAAAACTCTGGGCTCTGAAAAGTGGGCAGTGTAGTCTTGGTGTGCACTGTAAACTTGACCTTATCTCTCTCACTGAGTGCATCAGGTATGTCAATCTGAAGTGAGGGATCAACATTCAGGTCCACAGACCCAGACCTCAGCACATTCATAACACATGATGTCCTACAGCCATCTTCTTTTCCAAATGAGAATTCAGATCTCAGAAAAAATCAAATCTAGAAAATTCTCAAATAAACTCTTGGTCATTTCTTCCTTGTTATGGTCCTCCTCCTGCTGCTGCAGCAACTTGGGAACCGAGACCCTGGCAACGCGGGCGTAGAGCAGGGGCCGCCTGGCCTCGCTTCGCACTATGCGGAGACCGCTGACCCGAGGATTGCGACGCAGAGCGGAGCCACTGACCCTCTTCCTGCGAGGCACGCTTTGACCTCCTCCTTTTTCTTGCTAGCATTTTATTTTTCTTTTGTCTTTCTTTGTTTTATTATGGTCATTGTAATGGGTATAAAGATATATCTTATTGTCTATTAATTTTTAGTTCCCTAAAGATTAAGGATGTTATGTATTTTTTCATGTGTTTATTGGTCATTTATTTGCACTTGATTTTGGGAAGAATGACTCTTCAAGTCCTTTACCTATTTTGAACCAAGCTTTTCAAATTTGCAGCTTATGTTAATCCCATCAAAATATAATTGCAAATATTTTCTTCCTTTCTTCAGATTGCTTTTTATCCCTGTTGATGGTGTTTTTTCATGTACAAAGTTTTAATACAGACCAGAGTCCATCCTGCCACCAGCAGACACCCACTGGAGCTCAGGCTCAGCCCAGGACCACCTCTGGCAACTGGTAGACACCTGCTGCAGCTCAGGCCTGGCCCAGACCCACCTCACTGGCCTGCTTGGAAGCCAGGGCCCAGGATAAGCTTGGGTCCACTCCCCAACACTCCACCTCAGAGCCCAGGTCTAACCCACTTTCATTTTGAGACACTGCAGCCATCCCCAAAGCCTTCCCCATAGAGTAGCCTCTACTTTGGGACAACAGGCAGGGCCTAGAAGCAGCTGCAACTTGGAGCAGGCATCCAAAAGACAGTGTAAGGCCCACTCTTTCAGTCCCATCTCTGAAAGATGTTGCATCCATTTTAGGGCACCTCCACTGCTACCTTAAGTTAGCTCCTGCTATTGCCATCACCAACTCTAGTTTCAGTAGCATCCATCCTGGGATTCTGGCAAGGTGTGGAAGCCCACTACTGAGGTGAGAAACAAATAATCTGCACATATACTACAATATTATAGGGTAGAAACGTCAGATCCACACTGCAAGAAAGGAAGTCACATAGACAACATGAAAAAACAAGGGAGGAAATTGACGCAATTCAAACTAGGATACTACAATAACAGAACCAATGGACAATACAATTGATGAGATGTCAGAGAAGGAGTTCAGAATGTTCATAAGTAAAATGATCTGTGAATTAAAAATGACCTAAATGAGCAAATACAGGCAGAAATTTATCACTCCATCAAAGAGATATGAGAGTAACTACAGGTAACCATTGATGACATCAATAAATAGATAAGGGAGGAAATGCAGGCATCCATTGATCACATAACCAAAGAGATAAGGGAGCAAATACAGGGAGCAAAAGATTACTTCAATAAAAAGATGAAGATTCTGAAATAAATCAGAAATCACTGAAATTAAGGAAAAAATAAACCAAATAAAAAACTCAATAGAAGGCATCACCAACAGACTAAATCACTTGGAAGACAGAACATCAGATAATAAAGTCAAAGTATACAATCTGGAAAATAAAGTTGATCACACAGGGAAGATTATAAGAAACCATGAGAAGAACATTCAAGAATTATGTTATAGCATCAATAGATCAAATCTAAGAGTTATTGGGATAGAGGAAGGCACAGAGTTTCAAACCAAAGGAATGCACAATCTCTTCAATGAGATAATATCAGAAAATTTCCCAAATATCAAGAATGAATTGGAAAAATCAAATACAGGAGGCTTACAGGACACCAAATGTATAAAATTTCAACAGATCTACACCAAGACTTATTATAATGAAAATGTCTAGCATACAGAATAAGGATAGAATCTTAAAGGCTTTGAGAGAGAAATCAGATCACATAGAGGGGGAGACCAATTTGTATCTCAGCAGATTATTCATCCAGACCCTCAAAGCCAGGAGATCTGGAACAGCAAATACCAAGCTCTGAAAGAAAATGAATGCCAATCAAATCTTAGATCCAACAAAATCAATCTTTAGATTTGATGGTAAAATAAAAACCTTCCATGATAAACAAAAGTTAATTTACAACTAGAAAGCCTGCACTACAGAACATCCTCAGCAATATATGCTGTGAAGAGGAATTGAAAAACAACAATGAAAATCAGCAAAGGAAGGTATCACACTAAAGGAAAAATCAATCAAAGAAGAAAACAAGTCAAGTTAAAAACCAAAAATAAACAAAAATGGGAATACAAATCATGTCTCAATAATACCCCTGAATATTAATTGCCTAAACTCACCAATAAAAAGACATAGACTGTCAGACTGCATTAAAAAACAAAACAAAACAATAAGCTGCTTACAAGAGACTCATTTCCACAGATTGAATGTGAAATGTGTAAAATTACACCACTAACATTCACTGCAGAAGTAAGCGGGGATTTCCATCCTTATATCAAATAAAATAGACTTCAAGCCAAACTTAGTCAAAAGGGATAAAGATGGATATTTCATACTGCTTAAGGAAAAGATTCCTCAATAAGACATAACAGGGCTGGGGATGTGGCTCAAGTGGTAGTGTGCTCACCTGGCATGCGTGAGGCCCAGGTTCGATCCTCAACACCACATACAAACAAAGATGTTGTGTCCGCTGAAAACTAAAAAATAAAATATTAAAATTCTCTCTCTCTCTCTCTCTCTCTCTCTCCCTCTCTCACTCTCTCTTTAAAAAAAATAAGACATAACAATAATAAATATATATGCCCAAACAATGGAGTTCATCAAACAAACTCTTCTCAAGCTCAAGAGTCAAATAGACCACAAAACAATAATTCTGGGTGACTATAACACCTCTTTCACAACTGAATATGACTTCCAAACAAATGCTGAACAAAGAAACTATATAACTCAATAATATAATCAATAACTTAGACTTAATGGACATATGTAACATATTCGATCCTTCAATGAGTGAATACACTTTCTTCTCAGTAGCACATGGATCCTTCTCTAAAATAAACTATATATTATGCCACAAAGCAACTCTTAGCAAATATAAAAAAGTAGAGATACTTCCCTGCATTCTATCTGATCATAATAAAAGGAAATTAGAAATAAATAATAAGATAAAACTAGAAGTTACTCCAATACCTGGAGACTAAATAATATGCTATTGAATGAACAATGGGTTGCAAAAGTCATCAAGGAGGAGATTAAAAAATTCATAGAGGTAATGAGAACACAGATAAACATATTGAAATCTGTGAGATACTATGAAGGCAGTACTAAGAGGAAAGTTCATTTCATGGAGTTCATTCCTTAAAAGAAGAAAAAGACAACAAATAAATGACTTAACATTACATCTTAAAGCCCTAAAAAAAAAGAACAAATGTACACCAAAAGCAGTAGAAGACAGGAAAAAATTAAAACTAGAGCTGAAATCAGTGAAATTGAAACAAAATAAACAATTTTAAAAATTGACAAAACAAAAAGTTGGTTCTTTAAAAAAATAAATAAAATTGACAGACACTTATCTATGTCACTGAAGAGATGGAGAGAGAAAACTCAAATTACTAACATATGTGATGAAAAAGGAAATATCACAACAGACACTACAAAAATACAGGAGATAATTAGAAATTATTTTGAAAACTTGTACTCCAATAAAACAGAAAATATCAAAGGCATTGACAAATTTCTAGAGTCATATGATTTGCCCAAATTAAATCAGGATGATATACACAATATAAACAGATCAAAATAGAAGATGCCATCAGAAGCCTAAAAACCAAGAAAAGCCTAGAACCAGATGAATACACAGCCAAGTTCTACAAGACCTTTAAAGAAGAACTAATATCAATACTCTTCAATTTATTTCAGGAAATGGAAAAAGAAGGAGCACTTCTACACTCTTTTTATGAGGCCAATATCACCAGGCAAAGACACATCAAAGAAAGAAAATTTCAGACCCATATCTCTAATGAACATAGATGCAAAAATTCTCAATAAAATTCTGGAAAATTAATAAAAACATATCAAAAAGATAGTACAACATAATTAAGTGGGGTTCATCCCAGGGATGCAAGCTTGGTTCAACATACGGAAATCAATAAATATAAATCATCACATCAATAGACTTAAATGTAACAATAATATGATCATCTCAATAGATGCAGAAAAATCAGTCAACAAAATATAGCACTCCTTCATGTTCAAAACACTAGAAAAACTTGGGATAACAGGAACATATCACAACATCAGAAAAGCTATCTTTGCTAAGCTCCAGGCCAACATCATTCTAAATGGAGAAAAATTGAAGGCATTCTCTCTAATAACTGGAACAAGACAGGGATTCCTTCTTTCACCAATTCTATTTAACATAGTTATTGAAACACTGGCCAAAGCAATTAGACAGATGAAAGAAATTAAAGGGATATGGATAGGAACTAAGAACTCAAATTAGCACTATTTGCAGATAATATCATTCTTTACATAGAAGACCCAAAAAAATACCACCAGTAAACTTCTAGAACTAGTAAATAAATTCAGCACAGTAGCAAATTACAAAATCAACACCCATAAATCAAAGGCATTTCTGTATATTTGTGACAAATTCTCTGGGACAGAACAAGGAAAACTGCCCCATTTACAATAGCCTCAAAAAAATAAAAATACTTGGGAGTCAATGAAAGAGGTGAAAGTTCTATACAACAAAAACTACAGAATGTTAAAGAAAGAAATTAAAGAACAACTTACAAGATGGAAAGAACTACCTTGCTCTTGGATAGGCAAAATTATTAATATTGTCAAAATGACAATACTGCCAAAAGCACTATACAGATTTAATTCAGTTCTAATCAGAATCCCAATGACATTCCTCATACAATAGAAAAAAGCAATCATGAAAATCACCTTGAAAAAAAAAGA